TTTTTTTTCCCAAAATAGTGTAGCCCTTTCTATAAACATGGATTTCTCGGGTCAGTTATACATCTGCTTGGACTCCTAATTTTTGACACTTTATCCCATTAGGAGATGTTGACTGATACATTTCTTATTTAGCACATAATTTACTTTTCACTTACAACTTGAGTTGAGGAGCATATGGCCAGAAACCAGATTCTGCTTTTGTGCATTTTAATTTAAAAGATACTTATTAGCGTTAGTTAAACAAAACTACCTTAAATATACCCAATACGTAAAAAAGCAGCTTTAGGGAATGATATTTTGAATTGTAAATTATTTTACATGAGAGATTGTATGACTAATTATCCTGCCTGTGTTTCAGAGCCCTGTGTCCGTCCTTCCCTACTTGCCGACTGGCAGGCAGACGCAATCTCTGCTCCTCTGCTTTTTCAATTATAAATGAAGAAGTCACCAAATTAAATTACCTGGGTAAACTGGTGCACAGGAGATTTCTCTTCGCCCTTCCCAAAGACACTACTTTTTCGAAAGCTGATCTGACCCACTTTGGCACGTTCTGGTTGCTGGTGGTTAAATGATGATTTCCATACTTGCTTACAGTATTTGTAGTCCTTGAGTACCAGTTCTTAGAATTTAAATGCAACACTTTATTTTAAATGGATTAGTAGTGTGGCCTGCAAAAAGCATCATCCCTTCACATTTGATTCCAAATGGGCAAAATAAAAGGAAAAAAAGCTTATTTTAGCCAGATTTTTAAAAATATGTGGACACATCTCCCAGTCTTTCCGTGTGCTGAAAGTGTGCCCTGAGCAGAGCAGGAGAGGAGGATGTCGCCTTTCGGGTGGGGTGGAGGGCTGAAGGCCGGAGTGGTGCCACCACGGGGTGGAGAAGTTCTGCTGAACATTGAGGTGGCTGTGGCCCAGGCTACTCCAGGGGAGTCCAGCCAGGGGCGATGACTGGTTCTTTGGGCAGCACAATGAGTGCTGCTGCCAGCCCTGTGCCAAAGACACGTTCGCCGATTTGAGTCCATAGGTCTTTGGTGTCAAGGTTATTTTTGAGATTTGCTTTGTGATTGCTGAAGGTCAGAGCCACCTCACAGGGTCCTGGACACCGTGCCGTGGTGGCCCTGCCTGATCTCCATGGAGAGCGGAGGCACATCAGATGGCTTATGTAGGTCAACTTACATGCACTTTGCTGAAATATTTCCTTTATTACTAAGCTTGCAATTGTGGTTTTCTTGCCAACTTTGAGGAGAATGCCATTATGCTTCTTTATTATGCTTTTTTACCTTTGCATACCATGTATGATGGGAGGAATTTCTCTTCCTGTGCTTAGGCTGGGCACGTGGTCTTGGGTAGTGCAGTTACTGGTGGTTTATGATTAAATCATCTTGCAGCTATAGGATGGGCTGGGATTCACTGTGCTTGGCGCTGCACGAGTGCTGAACTAAACAAAGTGGTTCTTAAAGAGTTTGTAACCAAGACAAATTGCTAGCACAGCAAATTTGCCAGTTAATTGCATGTTTGGAAACTGGAACAGTGTGTGAAGGTGTCTCCTGGTGGCCCCTTTGGTGAGGATGGGCCTATGAGGAGCGATTGAAGGAGCTGGGACTGTTTAATTTGGAGAAGACTCAAGGGGAGACCTCATCATTCTCTACAACTACCTGAAAGGACATTGTAGAGAGGTTGGTGCTGGTCTCTTCTCTCAGGTGTAATTAGTGACAGAACAAGAGGGAATGGCTTTAAACTGCAACAGGGGAGGTTCAGACTGGACATTAGGAAAAAATTTTTCACAGAAGGAGTGGTCAGAGAGTGGAACAGGCTGCCCAGGGAGGGGGTGGAGTCACCATCCTTGGATTTAAGGGTTGTTTGGATGAGATGTTGGGGGATGTGGGGTAGGGAAGAACTTTGTAGAGTTGGGCTGATGGTTGGACTCGATGATCCCGAGGGTCTTTTCCAACCTGAATGATTCTGTGATTCTGTGATTTAAGCATCCAGAAATGTTTAGATAGCTAGATCTGATTTCGTTGAGACTTGGCTTGCTGTTTAGGTCTCATGAATCCAAACTGAGTAGTCAACAGCAGACTTGCAGCCCAAGAACAACCATGGCAACTCTGCTCATGTCCATTAGTGGGTTTTGCTTGTTTCCCCCATGGGAGATGCCCAGGAGATGCCTCACTTCCAAGAGCATCTTGGCTGTGTGAAACCGTCTAGACGGAGAGCTCTTGCGGTTCCTTATTTTCTCTTTTAAAATAAAGACACTCCTAACGCTGGTGGGGTCAAACTGTTTCACCTCCCTTTCTGTGCTCTTCATGCACGTTTTGTCCTTTGCACTAGTATGTGCTATGTTCTGGGAGAGGAGAGTCCATGAAAATATGTCAAAAGCAAAAAAATGACATTATAAAAAATAATACTAAAAAAAGAGACAGAAAGTGGAAATCAGTTAGAGCAGACACACACAAAATGGGGAAGGTAAGCAAAGAAGTAAAACATAAAATTGTATATTGGCCCTGGAAGGTGCTGTGCAGCTGGTTGGTGACGGTCAGGAATCACAGAGGCTGCAGTCACCACGTCATTTATTTCCAGCAATTCATTCGCTCAACTCTAAATACAAATATGAAAAGGAACATAAAATGAATTACATGCATGATCCTTCACAGAGTAATACTTGCGTTAGGTTGAGCGGTAAATTACACCAGAGGCACCAACTAACACGTGTGTATAAACAGGAGTAAAACACGGCATCAGGACATCGATATGCTTCGTACTGGGAGCACGATCCCTGCACGGTGTGTTCCCAAAGTGAATTCATAGTTTAAAAAACTCTTGCTTACATGGAGGATGAATAACTTTGCAATCTCAGTTTGCCAAAGTTGAAGTTGGCTGTGTGCTTCCCAAACTGAAATACTTTAATTTTTGGTAGTATTTAGATAATAACACTTGGTGTTGCAGCTGGAGTGGTCCCGTAGATGATGTGAAGATGGAGATGAGGCTGTGCCTTTAGCTTTGGCTTCTGCATTTTGCGGGTTTCCGAAGCACTCCTCCAGGCAACCTTTATATTCAGTGGGGTTTTTTTCACATGGAATTACAATTGCAGGAGCCTGAGCAATTTCTCTGTGATTGGGGAATGTTGTTCATGGGGTGACTTGCGAGGTTGGGTTGTGCAGAAAGCTCTTTAAGTGGATGGAAATTATAGTGTACCCCATCTCTAGGGGATTTCGAATAACACCGATGCCCCAGCACCCCACAAAGTTTCTGCCCTGGATGTATATTAAGTCTCTTTTTTTTCTTTTTTTCTTTTTTTTTCATACATACAGATCTAATCTTCTAGAAAATGCCCCGAAGGTTTGAGCAATCTACCAGTTGCAGGAACCCATAAAGCTTTTTTTTTTTTTTTTTTTCTCATTGTGTAAGCATGACAAATCATTAATTTTTGATTGATTGCTTTGAATTATGGGTGCTCTGACATCCTTTCTGTAGCTGAACAGCTGTATAACAAATGAACATATCAGTACTCACAAAAGATTGGAGATCTAACAGAAGCAATTACATTGTCAGCTCCTCCCTTCTGGCTTTTCCCAGGCAATGGAGGGAGGAAATTTTTTAACAGAAATTCCTCAAGTGGCTAACAATAATAATAATAATAATAATAATAATAATAATAATAATAATAATAATAATAATAATAATAATAATAATAATAATAATAATAATAATAATAATAATGATAATGATAATAATACCACCTTTTTGTAACTGAATTAGATTTTTATCTCTTCATTTCCACTGTATTTCTTAAACCTTCAAAAACTAGGATGTGTTTCTGCTTTGTGTAACTTGGAGAATCCCTTTGAACAAAATTTCACATGAAGAATTAAAAAAAATCAAATTGCAATTTTTAGTTGCTATTCCTTTAAGATTTCAGAATTGTACCAGTGCACTAAATGTGACCTCCATAACTTTTAAATTAAGAATTTATGCTGGCTTGAAATTTATGAAATATTTCAGCATGAAAGAAAGCCTTTTCCCTCAGGAAAATTGAGCAATAAATCACAGCACTCTCGATTTACTGCCCTACAGCCAGCCAAAGATAGGATTTTTTTTTCCTTCCCCCCCTTCGTTCTAAAAAAAAAAATAAAAAAAAATGTAATCATATAAGACAGCTTAGCTGCTATCCTCCCACTCTCTAGAATTTTTAATTTCAGCTGTTTCTGCTTGGATTTATTTCCAATATTCCTGCTCGGCTTTTCAATTTCCTCAGTTATTAAATTTTAATTCAGTGCATTAGCATTTAAATTAAAAAAGGGTTTATTTTATCGAAATCGTTGGCTAGCCCCCATCCTGCTGCACATGAATTGCCTGTTTCTGCCATTTGCACAAAATGTGAAATGCAGCTAATATCTTTTAACTTGTGTTTGCACAAATTCAGAAATAAAATTTCTGGGTTTGGAATAATATTGTCTTTCCAAGGAAGCCTCTCATCAGAGAGCCGGGGGAAGGAGGTGAAAAGGAGACCCTGGTTACTCCCTGCTCAGCCCCTTCTGAAGGCCCAGAGGGGTTCAATTAGGCAAGTCAGCTAACGAAGGGAGGTGCTCTGGACCTGCCCCTCTAATCTAGGAGCCAGGCCATCTCATCTTGGATACAGCACTAAATTTGGCTATTTCTGCTTTATTTCCCTCCTGCACATGCTACATTTTTGGACAGGGGGGATCGCTACTTGAAACTTTGATAAAGAGCAATAAAATAATTCACGTGAGCAGCTGGAGAGTATCGACTCAGAAAATCGCCTCCATGGTGGGGCTGTGTCTGAAATCCTGCCCCAGCCTCCTGCAAACCTGGGTGTACCACGTCCCGCCAGCGCCGAGCACGGGGGGGGGTGTCACCCAGGAGGGAAGAACCCCAGGTGGTTTGGGTGCAGTGTGCTAGCAGGAAGAGTTTGGAAGGTGGTCTTGCCTTTCTTAACCTAAACAGCCTTTTTTTTTTGATGTCTTTTGTCCCCTTAGGCCGAGGAGAGCAACAGCAGTGGGCGGAGGAGCTCTTCCAGCAGGTAGGTGATGGTTTTCTTTGCTGGGTGGGACGTGGTGGGCAGGTGCAGCTCTGCTCGGCTGCGGCTCTCCATCTCGGAGATGGGTGGTGAAGGGTGACCCCAGGAGAGGGCTGAGCTGAGAGCCGTTAGAGCACAGTGTCCGTACGCCTTTTTTTGGATTCTGCTAAAAAGATAGATGCAAGAAGGATCATTGTGGCCTTGGGGGCTGGAAGGAGACATGATTTGCATGTAGTGGGGTGGTGTGGCTGAGTCCTCCCCAGCCCCGTGCCCATGCCAGGGTGCAGAATGAGGTTCTTCAGCCTGCTGCGGCAGTTGGATGTGGACACCCCCCTGCTCCCATGCAGAAGGAGAGGAGAGGGGTATCCCAGCACCCCAGCGCCCTCTGATCCTCCCGACGGGTGTTTCTGGTGGGTGTGGGCCCTGTAACATCCCTCCTGGGGACCCTGCTTCAGCTGCCCACTGGCTGCCCCCCCTTGGTGTACGTGGCCATGGTGGGTGCCCCGGGCGTGTGGCAGCTCCTGGCCGGCGTGTCCCAGCATCCCTGCGTGGGGCGGGGAGGAGACACGCAGCCCTGGCATGAGCAGCACGAGGAAGGCCTGGCACAAAGGAGAAGGATGTGCAGAGGTTGGGTCTGCCCTGTGCTGTGGTCTCTCCACCTCCTGCTCATGCTATAGGGCATCTTACCACGCTGGGATGCACTAGAGATGCTGCTTCTCAGTTCCTCTCCATCTCTACCTGGTGGGTCAGTCCAGGGCTGTGAAAGCATGCAAGAAGAGGCAGCTTCCTTTCTTGGCCAGGCACAAATTCCTTTTAGCTGGGTTTCCTCTGCAGAGCCACACTGAGGAGGTGGTGGGAGCCAAGAGCAAAGTGTGTCTTTGGTGACAGTAGGATTCAGATGGTCCTGAGCATGCTCAAAGCTGATTCCTGGTTGTCTGCCATCACAGAGTGGCAAACTCACCTCCCAGGTTTCAGAAATTCCTTGGTAAAAATACATAGAGACGTAGGAGATGATGCCAGGCTGAAAACGGGAGAAATACTGAAGATGCACCGGGAAGGCAAGTGTGTGGCTTGAGAAGGACAGCGGGCTGCAGCAGAGCAGAGAAACATCCGTGATTGTTGGAGAAGGTGGTAGGAAAGCCAGGGAGATGCCATCACGTGGTGAGGTGATGCACAGCTTGTTGCAGGGTGTGGGGACTGCTGAGCACCTGAGGTGCTTTTTAGGGTTACATCACATGAATGGGCTGCCACCAATTTGGCTGCCGTGGAAAGAAGCCAGCATGGTATATGGGGGCAGCACTGCGTCCTGGCATCATTGCCATCAGCATTACCTGCCCCTCCCTCGGCGAGGGCACAGTAGTGCGGGCAGCCCTGACCACTGCAGTGGCACAAGCAGTGAAGCTGTGACAGTGTGGCAGAAGCCACTGTCTCCGCATTGTGCGGGACGAGACCACCGTGGGTACACCTGGACAAGGTTTGCCGGTCGTCTCTGCAGGGCTCGGTGCCACTCCCCTGCCTGGGGAAGACCCCAGTGAGGCACAAGGCTTTTCTCTGGGCTCCCAGAGCCCCTGGCAGCAAAGCAATGAGCACCAACGCTCCCCCGGTGCTGCCTGCTGCCTTCACAGCTCAAGCCACATTTCATGTCCTCCCCTTTGCACTGCCAGTGATACCATCTCTCTGCTAACCCTATGCCAGAGCACCCTCCTCCTCTCCCTGGAGACTTGGAAGCACTGCTGAAGTTTTATCCCTCAGGTGAACCACATCATTCCACGTTAAAAGCCCAGTGCATTCTTCTGATCTCCAGAAGGCTGTGGTGCGGGTCCTCCCCCACCTCCCACTGCTGAAGGTGCACCAAGTGTTCCCAGCTGTGATGGCTGTGGTCCCTGCCCAGCACCCTTGAGCCCATCGAGCTCCACCGCTCGATGTTCCAGAATGCAATACCCTCATTACCAGCGGCTTTTCGGTACGGCGGCGCTGCCCGGCGTTGGTCGCCTCTGTGGTGCCTGCTGGGTTGGACTCGGCAGGGGTGGGAGGCTGGGCAGGCAGATTTTGTCAGTGGGGAGCATCGCTGGCATTGGGTTTCTTACCCAGAGGAAAATTTTCTCTTTTCCCATTTTTGGGGTGGCTCATCAGTGTGGTCCAGCAGCGCTTGCTCTCGGGACGCTGGGAATTGGCCTGAATGGAGCACTGGGAGAGCATAGGCTGAGGAGTGAGGGATAGGAACTGGGCATTGTTTCCTTCTCCCAAAGGAAGTCTTTATTCTGACTTCTAATTCAGTTTTGTAGCTCCTGCCAGAGGGTTTTGCAGAGCAGGTCGGTGGGCGTGTTCTCCGTGTGGGAGCTGACCCTTTGGGGTGTCCCCTGTGGGTCCCCCAGTGCGAGAGGTGCTCTTGGGCCCTGGGCATCCTCCTGAGTGTGAGCATGGCCTCCCCAAGGGTGGGCACCTGAGCACCTGTGGGGGTAGCAGAACTTCCCTCCCTTATCACTTACTTTGTACATACGTAGAGGAGTATGAGGCTGGCCATCACATCTTTTAGAAAAGTGGAAGCAAAATCCACTTCAGCATCCGCCTGACTGAACAAGAGGTGGTCAAAAAAGGGAAAATGACCAAGTCTGTTTAAAAAAAAATAAAATGCAATAAAAATTGTATATTTCAAAAAAGCTCTGTGAGTGACTGAAGGTTGAAATGTGGCTTTGACTGAATCTGTGAGGCTGTTAGTGGCTGGAGATACAAGATAGATGTTTTTCAAAGTTGTTGCTGCTTGAAACTCTCACTAATTGCAAGCTGTCGAGGAAACTTCTAACAATTAATTTATATCAGTAAAAATACAAGCAAAATAAGTTGCCAGGACAAGTTTTTCTTCAACTGTTTTTTTGGGGGGGGTTACTACAGCATGCTTGATCTTAATGTGGTGGCTATAGTATTGGGTTGATTCTGTTATTATTTATTTATTGTATTGAACGATTTTATTCTGTTTCAAGTAAACGTTTAAAGCTCTGAAGGCACAGGATTTTTGTGGTGTTATCCCCCCACAGCTCTGATCAGGCCTGTCTGCTGCCTTTGAAATAACATGGTTCAGTGCAGGCAGCTGTTTGCTGCTGAGAGTTGGTGGTGGCAGAAAGCCCTCACTATTCTCCTACCCTCTTAACTTCTGTGTGGTTTCTGTACCTCACTGTATGCTTATTAATGGGAAATTTTAAAAAGTGAAGAGAATTATTAGGAGCATAAAACCTCCCTCCTTTAAGGGAGCTAGATTGCCGTTTGCCTTGGAGAAGATGACACCTAAGAGACATGACAACATGACAAAGCTGTGCGTGTTTTTGAACACTCCAGAAAAGGTAGATCAGAGACTTCTTCCTTCCTTTTGCAAGTAAAAAAGAGTCAGTCAACAAAATCAAAAGGCAGCAAATTAGAAGCCAGTAAAAGGCAGGATGTTTTCTTACATGATGGGCAGTTAGCTGAGAGTTGTATGCTTGAGAGGGGCTCGGAAGGGACTCAGCTGGGACATGGCATCAGTAGGTGACATGGGCTCCTGTGGAGGAGACACATTGCCAAGGCATCACCCTGCTGCTATCTGATGCAGAGTCTCTTGAAGCTTCTTCTGAATCCCGTTCTGCTCATGATGGACCAGATTTGGTGTCACTTACTGGTGTGAGTCTGTGTGACAGTCCTGGAGGGCTTGGAGGGACCGGAGGGCAGTGTGGGAACAGCGTCTGGAGCTGCAGACCTCGGGGTAATCATTGGGAGTCTCCATAACATTACTGTAAACCTAACTACTTACCAGTAATTAATGTCAGCATTCAGATGGTGGGCTCTGGATCTTGACAAGAAATAATTGAAAAACCAAATGTGCAATTATGTCTGACAAGCAGCGTGTGCTTTTCTTGGTCACCAGAGCCTTGTGTAGTCATGTGTTAGACACGGTTTTATATAATTATTATTGTTTATATGGTGGGTGTCAGAGGAAGGAAGAATTTTAGTTTCAAGTCCTCTGTTGGCTATTTATTTTAAAGTCATTAGATTTGTTTTCAGACTTAACTACACTTAATGTGCGAGACTCCTGCTGAATAAATCAGACCCTGATATAGGAACTGCATCTGTTTGCGGAGGGAACAGAGCCAGCTGGAAGCTCAGCCCCCGTCTGCACCAGGGCTGTCACCAGCCGGGGAACCCACTCACAGCACAGATGTAGCTGTGCAGAAAAGCACTCCCGAAACAGAGGTAAAATCCCAGACCTTCTGGGGCTGTGAGCTGGCAGTGAGGTCACAGATGGGTCTCATCTTCATTGCAGCATTAGCAAGCACTGTGGTAGAGGTCCTGAAAAGGGTGGGAGGTCTCTTGGAGATGGGGGTCCAGCAGAAGGGCTCTGTGATGCTGGCCTGGAGGGAGGCAGAGTGCTGTGCAGGCAGGTGTGTTTCCAGAGGGTGCTTCAGGCTGGGATGTGGAGGTCTTCCAGCTCTGTCATGGTGCAGTTTTCTCCACTACACCAGACCAGGTGCTTAGGTAGTCTGGTTGTTTCAGTCTCCACCTTAGAAGATGTGGCTTTCCAGCTGGAGGAAAAGGTATCGAAAAGTGTTTGCACCTACTTTGCTCTTCTCAGTTCACCCTTCTCCAGCCTCACTGGTGGCATCTTTCCCTTTCCTTCCCACATTGCCTGCTCTGTCCGTGCAGTCACATCCTCCCTAGCAGTTCCTGTAACCCAAGGGCAGATCTGCCCTGGGATGGCACCAGCTCTTCTGCAGGCTCCTCATCCAGCTGATCAGTCCTCACCAGGTCCCCAAGCCTTTGGGGTGGACAACCTCCATCCATGCCCAAGCTGGAAGCTGTGGTTCTCTGAACCTCAAGAGAGGGCTGCACACCCTGTGGAGGGACAGGCCGAGAACTGAGTGTTTTCAAGAAGCAAATTGATAATTGTTTCCCCTTTCTTTAAAAGGCTGCCTGTGGGATTTTCAGTCCCAGGGTATAAAGAGCTTCAGACCCATCCTGTGGTAGAAAGAGAAAAC